CGGCAGCGCTCCCGCCGAGGGTTCAGATCCCACATACAGACCGGTTCCTGCTCACTGGCTGAGCAAGGTGCGGGAGCAACACCGAGGGTTGCGATCCCGTTGCCAGTCCCGGTCCGGTACGGGCCCGACACTGAGGGTTGCGATCCGTTGCCGGACACGAAAAATGACAAAAAGGAAAAAAAAAAAGAAAGAAAGAAAGAAAAAAGATGTAGAAAGTGGAGGGGGAAGATGGGATAGGGAGAGGTTGGTTAATGGACACAAAATTACAGCTAAATAGGAAAAATAAGTTCTAATGGTGTACAGTTGTGCTAGACATCTATAATTAACAGTAATTTATTGTGTGTTCTCAAATGGCTGGAAGAAGGGAGCTCATATGCTCTCATCACAAAAAAATGATAGCTGATAACACTAAGGTCCAGGGTTTGATCCCTGTACCCACCAGCTGCCAAAACAAAACAGTGCTAAGAAATGATAAATTTTTGTGATGATAAATATGCTAATTACTGTGATTTGATTGTTGCACATTGTATACATGTATTGAAATATAACTCTGTACTCCATAAATATGTACAATCAATAAATTCCTTAAAAAAGAAAGGGATCATTTATTTTGCCTGGTGAATGGTAGAAAAAACCTACAATGGTTGGCTCCAACCATTTTGTGCTTCTTATTCCCTGGAATTGTTCTTTCTGTAGAACACATTTATTCTTGCTACTCTCTGCCATGCAGTATCTTTCTTCCTGCTGCCAAGTCTCAAATGTATGTGCCTGTTTAGCAAAATCAAGGTCACAAGTGGACCCTGGGATGTAAAGTAGCCTGGAAAATAGCATTTTTAGCTATTAAGCCTTTGCAACTCAAGAAGGCAAGCTAGAAAAGGGTTAAAATGGGTGTTAGTGAGCTCAAATCTCTCATGCTCTCTCCACAGATAGACTTCTTCCAAATGTCAAATTCCAAATGACCGTCAAAACATTCTCCTGCATAAGATAATACGGTTGTCTATTATCCAAATGGAAACACACACTCACTGTCTTCCTAAATGGGGAAATCCATCCCTCTCTGAATTATTCTGTATTATTTCTTCTATAGTTCAGGAGTTACGTTGTCTTTATATCTTCTAATCTGGGGGAATAAAATGAAAATTAAAACAACAAAACATCATATACATCATAGTATGGGAGGATAAGGAGTGGGAGAGTGGAATCAAAGGAAAAGTTATAGGTGGTGTCTAGAGTTGTCCTTTCTGCCATGAGTGTGAGGTCATGGTTGGTTTTCATAACTTTTTAAACTTCCCATTCTGTGCTTCCTTTGCCCTCTGCCAGTGTTTCAAGAAGGAAAAACTCCTTACCTTGTGGGAGGATCCCAATATTTGTTCCTGAGGAGACTGAGCCTTAACAGTCCTGCCTAAGTGGTACTTACCTTGTGGGAGGATCCCAATATTTGTTCCTGAGGAGACTGAGCCTTAACAGTCCTGCCTGTACAGAGTTGCCCTCATCTTCCACTAACTTTTATTTCTGGACTGGGTAGCAGCAGGAGGCACCAGAGAGAATTTCCTTTATTCTAGGCATGTGCTCTGTCTTTTATCTTTTATCACACATCCACTATCATTAGGAGCCTGTATTAGTTTGCTAGGGCTGCGTAACAAAGCACCACAGACTGAATGGCTTAAACAACAGTATATTGCAGTTCTGGAGACTAGAAATCCAAGATCATGGGATCATCAGGGTCTGTTCCTTTTGAGAACCATGAAAAAAGAATCTGTTCCAAGCCTCTCTTGGCTTGTAGACAGCTGTGTTTTCACGTTGTCTTCCCTCTGTAGTTATCTGTGTTCATATTGCCTCTTCCAATAAAGACACCAGTCATATTGAATTAAGGCTCACCCTAATGACCTCATGTTAATCACTTACATAAAGACCCTATCTCCAAATATGATCACATTCTGAGATAATAAGGGCTAGTGATTTAACATGAATTTGGGCGGCATGGCACAATTCAGCCTATAAAAGAGGTCATATCGGCCAGGAGGAAGTCTCAACTTCTATTTAATGCAATGCTTATATCCACTTATATAGACTTCGCTTCCTTGAATATTAATGCTTTTATCAAAAAGCCTTCATTCCTAGGAACAGGAAGTAAATATTTTGCAAGTGGATAAGGATAGTGGGAAATGTCACAACTGCTTCCACCCCTCGGTTCCTGTACCAGTGTAATCTGGCTAGAAAAAAATGCCTTAGATTGGTTCATGTAGGACAGAATCCAAATCTCCCCACTCATAAATGGTACCATAACTGAGTCGACAGGCCATTCTTCATTCTTTGATTAAATGATTATGTAAGGCATGTGAATCCTGTAAGCACTTGAGTCTTTTGCTTTAAAAAGAATTTCTTAGTCACAGACAGTGATGTGTGGGATACTGTGACTGTGAATAAGGCTGTCAATCAGGGGTGATTGTGGCCCCAGTGGATAGTTGGCATCATCTGAATGCATTACCAGGTGATACTACCATCTACTGGGTAGAGATCAGGGTTGTTGCTAATCACCCTATAATGCATAAAACAGCCCCTTACAACAAAAGATTATATAGCCTCAAATGTCAGTTGTGCCAAGGTTGAGAATAGCCTAGCAAAGGATCTAGTAAAAGTGTGACCAAGAAAAAATGATTTCTCATCACTATTTCTTCTTTGCCTTGGTTACAGAGCTCCATCTTTATGCTAACAATAGCATTGGGAAAAGCAAGGCAACACACAAGGCAAAGGTAATTAGAAGTGAAGGAACGGTGATGTGAACTTAGAGGGAAGACATGGGAAGGAGACGAGTAGGGCTTGTGCAGTCACAGATGAGGCTGTTGTATCTATCCAGTTCAGTCATCCCCTCTATCCTGAGAGGGGCTCGTGGAAGAGGCACGCGCGCTGCTGAATGGAGCTGGTTGCTGGTTGCTGTGAGCATGTCCTTTTTGGATTCACTGCACATCTGGAGCCTGAGGCATGCGACAACCACAAGAAATAGACTCCTGTGGCTGACTTCACTCACCGTGCCCACAGTGTCTCCTTGATAGCAGTGGCTGTGAATAGTCACTTTGTAGTCACTGGGAGCAAAGATGAAACAATTCACATTTATGACATGAAAAAGAAGATAGAGCATGGAACTCTAGTGCATCACAATGGGAGGAGATGGAGTTATGGGAAGGAGGAGCAGAAGATGTGGGGAAGCAACAACTTACAAAGCGCAATAGCTTTCCTGAAATTTTATGGCAACAGGCACTTAATCGGTGGAGGGAAAGATGAACTCATCTGTTTCTGGGATGCAAAGAAACAG